TGGGTCGGGGGTGCTTTCGCAACCAAATACACGTTTACATAGCGAACCGCTTGCTCCAAGCCAGACACCCGCTTGCAGCCGGACCTACTGGTGAAGAGACGCTGCAGACTTCAGTGAGCCCTTAAACCGACCGTGACCCAAGACTCCATTCGGATTGGTTACCGCATCTCGGACATGGGTGTCTCACGTTGCCCAGAGTACGCGAACGAGGACGCAAGAGTCGGTATTGAGTATAGCCGTGCAACTGTAACTGCATACTCAGCACAACGACTTATACCCTATTGCATTATTTGTTTACCTTTTCTTATTCACAGTGCTAATGAATTCATACTTACAGTGGGATTAACTTAAAAGCTTTAACCCAAATTATTTAAATTTTATTCTGGTTTTTATGACATAAATTTTCGTTTTTAATATATTCATTAACTATCATAGAAAATTTTTTATTTCGATTACCAGACTTAATGGTAGCCTACTCTATAAGGTTAATATCCTATAGTATCTACAGTCAGCCAATAAAGTTTGGGTACAGCTAATTTTTTGCAATATGGGCCAATATTTTTTAAATATTTTATTTTTCGCTAATTGTGTATAAAAATATGGTTAATTCTATAACAAAAACCTCTATCATCAGAGTTCTAAACCTTGTGCAAATTAAGGAAAATTCTGCAATTAAATTTGGGTATAATAAAGTGCAACTTTGAGGTAGCTAGGACTTACTATTGACTTCTGGCAATTTTTTTTGTTGCAAGTGTCGCTCATTTTCCCCATATAAAATAATTTTCGAAAATTTTTTATATGGAACAAATGAGCGACACCTTCAACAAAAAAATTTGCCAAAAAGCAATGAATGGTAAATCCCAACTTTTTCAGACCTGCAATAAAATTGAAAGGGTTAAAAACTGCATATTTTGCTTTTTTCTAAAGATTGTAAATAAAAAGTGCAATATTTGAATCAAAATTTGCAGAATTTTCTTTAATTTTCCACAAGGTTTGGAATTCTGATTTTTGGGGTTTCTGTTGTGGAATTAACCATTTTTTTATAAAAAATTAGCGAAAAATAAAATATTTAATAAACAGTTGCCCGTATTGCAAAAAACTCTACCTAAAATTTATTAATTGACTTAGTTTTGTAACCCATTAAATTTTAGTATAATAAAGTGCATGTTTGAAGTCGCTAAAATTTACCGTTGATTGTTTAGATTTTTTTGTCGAGGGTTTTACGAGTTTTCTTCCATGTAACGCATGAACAAAACTTACTTTTATATTGAAGAAAATACGCAACACCCTCCGCAAAAAAATCTAAAAAACCAACGGTATTTTTTAGCGACTTGAAACTTGCACTTTATTGTACTAAAATTGATTGAGCTACAAAACTGTGTACCCGAAAATGCCCTTAAGAATCTGATCAAAAAGTTCAAAATTTTGATGAAAATATTTTTTTAAGTTTGATTATTTTTTTTTGAAATTAATACAAGCTTTGAAAGTTTTATTTATGTGGTATCTGATATAGGTCGACCCATATTTTAAATTAAAATTATTAACAATAGATAAATAAAGATAAGTTGCCAACAGCATCTTTTTGAATCTTGATTCTATTATTTTGACCGTAACTGTAAGTACGCCTAAATCAGAGAAACGCACAACACTCTGATGTACGCATATGCACGACGACATTGATCGTCCTCGCCCTCATCATACTCATACCATCCCTACGGTGACCATCCGTCCTGTATTATATGGGACAGTCCTCTTCTTTTCGTCAATTGTCCTGGCAATTTATTTATTTCATAAGGGACGCCAAAAGTTCTGTATTTCTTTTAATGTCCCATATTAGTCCCGTATTCCGTGCTTTGGCGCCTTAATAGCTCTTAAAAGTGACATGCCTATGAAACAGTTTTTATACCCGAGCGCACTTGTGCATAAGGGTATTATAACTTTGTTCACATAACGGTTGTTTGTAACAGGCAAAACGAATCGAGATAGATATAGACAAATGTATACATAAATGATCAGAATGAAAAAAGAAATCGGTTAAGCGGTGACTGTCTGTCCGTCCGTCCGTCCGTCCGTCCGTCTGTGCACACGATAACTCGAGTAAAAATTGAGATATCTTAACGAAACTTGGTACGTGCACTTCTTTCGGGCGTAGGACGGATGGTATTGAAAATGGGCAAAATAGGACAATAATCACGCCTACCTCCCATATAACGGTAATTTTCAGAAATACGAAAACTGCGATATTTTAGTAACTACTGAAGATAATTCACTCAAAATTTATATTTACAATGAGTTTTAGACGAAAAATAAGAATATTAAAAAATTTTGGCAAATAGGCGTAGCCACGCCTACTTATGGTTACATGTGTATATCTTGGTAACCGCTGCACCAATTTCTTCCAAACTTGGCACAGTTGTTGGCCCTGGTACAGCATACCAAATGGCCGAAAATTTTTAAAATCGGACAATAACCACGCCCACATCCCATATAACGGTAATTTCGAGAAATACGAAATCCTCGATAAATCAGTAAATATTAAAGCTAATTTATTCAAAATCGATGCTTGCAGCAATTCTTTACCAAGAAATACGTTTATGATAAAATTTTGGAAAATGGGCGTGGCACCGCCCACTTATGATCACATATATTTATCTCGGTAACCGTTCTACCAATTTGTAACTCGGTACGGTTATTGTGCTTGCCACAAAACATTGAAAATTATTGAAATCGGACTAAAATTAAGCCTACTTTTCATATAACGGTAAATTACAGAAATGCTTGAAATTTCGATAACTCAAAATTTAAGGGCGCTAATTTACTCAATTAATCGCCCTCAAATAATACTCACAATAATCTCTTAAAATAAGATTATTTTGGAATTTTAGAAAATGGGCGTGGTAGCGCCCACTTATAGCTGTATAACTTTATCCTATCAAGTATAACTGAACATACTTAGGGAGTTCACAAGTCGTGCTATTTGTCATATTTGCTCTTTTGTACTATTTTTTTAGAACAGTTGTAAAATGAAACTTGTGAGCATCCCATACTTTTTCGTGTGCTATTGTACAATATTTTAACAATTATATTTGACAAAATCAAAATTATTAAAACAGCTTTAGAAAGTTTCTAATGCCCAGAAGAAGCGAGAAAAGCAAATTAATGGCTGCGATTTGCGAGAAGTACGCGCAGGACGCAACGATGGAAGGAAGTGAGTCGTCAAATAAGTCATTTATGAGTTTTTTAAATTTATTTGGTGCATTTTTGTTAGGCGATGAAGATGAGGAGGAAGAGATCGATGAAACTTTTAGGTTTAATATGCTTGTGTTGTTGGCAAATCGCCGAAGTGTCCATCTAGGAGTTCCGAAATCAAACAATTGGGATCTGAATGTGTTACAACCTCAAATAGGCGGTTTTCTAAAAGAAAATCAATTAGGGACTTCTCTTCCGACACTGTCCACACATGGTTTGGTTTTCCCCGGACACGCTTAGTTTTGCACTGAATTAAAAAAGATCTTTAATAAGTTAAATATGTTATAAATTAAAGATAACTTACTCCATTGCCATGAGATGACTCCATTTTTATACCCGAGCGCACTTGTGCACAAGGGTATTATAACTTTGTTCACATAACGGTTGTTTGTAACAGGCAAAACGAATCGAGATAGATATAGACAAATATACATAAATGATCAGGATGAAAAGAGAAATCGATTAAGCGGTGACTGTCTGTCCGTCCGTCCGTCCGTCCGTCAGCCTGTCCGTCCGTCTGTGTACACGATAACTCGAGTAAAAATTAAGATATCTTAACGAAACTTGGTACGTGTACTTCTTTCGGGCGTAGGACGGATGGTATTGAAAATGGGCAAAATCGGACAATAACCACGCCTACCTCCCATATAACGGTAATTTTCAGAAATACGAAAACTGCGATATTTTAGTAACTACTGAAGATTATTCACTCAAAATTGATATTTGCAATAACTTTTAGACGAAAAATAAGAATATTATAAATTTTTGAAAAATGGGCGTAGCCACGCCCACTTAGTGTTACATGTGTATATCTTGGCAACCGCTGCACCGATTTCTTCCAAACTTGGCACAGTTATTGGCCTTGGTACAGGATACCAAATGGCCGAAAATTTTAAAAATCGGACAATAACCACGCCCATATCCCATATAACGGTAATTTGGAGAAATACGTAATCTTCGATAAATCCGTAAATATTGAAGCTAATTTATTCAAAATTGATGCTGGCAACAATTCTTTATCAGGAAATACGCTTATCATAAAATTTTGGAAAATGGGCGTGGCACCGCCCACTTATGATAACATATATGTATCTCGGTAACCGTTCTACCAATTTGTACCAAACTCGGTATGGTTATTGTGCTTGCCACATAAAAGCAAAACGTTCAAAATTATTGAAATCGGACTAAAATTACGGCTTTTCATATAACGGTAAATTTTAGAAATGCTCGAAACGTCAATATTTCGAAATTTAAGAACGCTAATTTATTCAAAATTGATACACCCCGGCTTACCATGTAGCGGTAGCTTTCGGAAAGGTGAAAAGGCATATATGTAATACTTGCGCCGGGTATTTAATGTTCGGCCCCGCCCGAACTTATACTTTCTTACTTGTTATTTTTAAATCTGGACACTTGTGATTCGAACATCATATCGTCGGTCCCTACGAAGAGTAGCACACTTCACTATTCGCGTGGAAGACTAGCACATTTCATTATTCGCGTCAAAAAGTAGCACATTTCAGATTTTTGCGTGGAAGACTAGCACATTTTAGATTTTTGCGTGGAAGAGAAGCACACTTAAGATTATTGCGTCGAAGACTGTAGTGATACACATTACTTGTTAAACACTTGTTCTTAAAATACTTTGAATTATGAAAATATCTTGTTACATTTATTTATGTACGATCAATTTTGAGTTGAAAATTTTTATATTCATTTATTCAGTTTTCAATATTCAATAAAATAAAACCTGGAAAATTTGTTAAACTTAAAAAAACGAAAATTAAATATTTTTTAATATACCTAAAATTGTCGATCCTGCCAGGAGCAATTTTTAACAAAGATAAAATTTAGAAACGTGAAAATCGCTTTCGAGGACATTTGTCGAAATTGAATTCGACAACGGCTACAATAACAAAAGCAACCACAAATTATTACAACTCTTACGAACGCGATACGGCGCGTCCAACAACATTTTTGAAAACAATAACGACGACGAATAGACGCGGCGATTTTATTGTATTGCATTAAGATTGCAAAGAATTTTTGCATTGCATCTAGTTAGCGAATACAAATGAAAACGTCGCTTGTGAACGCGTCCGATTTCGACTACTCCAGTCGCCCCGTGTACGAGGGCGAATAACGGCGCACACTTCAGCAATACGAGCAGTCTCAGCTGCAAAGCAGCATCAGGAGCGATTGCAAGCAGAGCAAGACGACGGGCAACAGCTCCATCAGCAGCAACAGCAACAGCAAGAAGAACAGGAACGAGAACGAGAGCAGCAACAACGCAAACATCAATCGCCATTTGTGCAGCAACATCATTATCAACAACAATATTTGCGTCAGCATCGTTACCACGACGACAATCAGTCACAACAGAGGCAACAAAAGCAACATAAGCAGACATCACGACAACAACGCCAACAGGAAAGTTCTGCCGTTGTCACATCGACAATTGTCTATTATCATCCATCCTCATCGCGTTTAAAGCACTCGCCAAGTAGTTTTGCTGACGCTGAACAACAACAACAAGTACAAAATATCAACAAATGTCACAGAAACAGCAGTCGCAATTATAGTCGGCCGTATAGAAGCAGCAACAGCCACCAACATCTGTAACCTTAACAACAACCACAAAACATCCAGTCTTTAAACCGTCACCAATCAAAACATCTAAATAGATAAGTTTATGTTAGCGTAGTTTAGTTGTGTTAAATTTTACACTTAGACAATTTTATTTTATTTTTTTTAAATACAAAGAACAGTTTATTTTTTTTGTAAACCTTCTTCCAATATGTTGCGTTCTCCTCAAGAAAAAGGTGCTGGGGATAGACTTGGTAGGTCTCTGATTGATATTGAAGATCCCTGTGAGGTGTCACAAGATAATATACGTAATCCGTATGACAGGTCTGAAATTTGTGCTACTTCGGTAAAATTACCACAATTTTGGTCTAACTGTCCTGAAGCATGGTTCGTACATGCCGAGATGCAATTTGCTACAAAGGGAATTAGTAGGGATTCGACCAAGTACGAGTTCGTTATAACTGCCTTGCCTCAAGAAGTTATTGCGAATGTACTTGATGTTATACAAAATCCACCTCAGACTGAGACTTATGAAAATTTAAAAAAAGTTCTCATTGACCGACATTCTTTAAGCGAGCAGAGAAGACTTGATAAAATTTTGTCAGATACTGAGATAGGGGATCGCAGACCTTCCGAGTATTATAGGACCCTTGGTCAGTTAGCGGGTAGCACTATAGACCCGATTTTCTTAAAAAATATTTGGTTGAGGAAACTACCTAAAAGTTTGTATGTTGCATTAACCAGCGCTAATTTAAATAATATTAATGATCTCTTGCAACTCGCAGATAAAATTTGGGAAATTACCAGTGGTAGTGAAATTTGTGCTGTTAAAAGTAAAGTACTTACTTCTTCAAATAATTTTGATGACTTAGGGAAAATTGTGGAAGATTTAGCGAAGGTTACGACGAAAATGTGTGAAAGTTTTAATCGTTTGCAGTTGGACATTAATGAGATTAAAACGCAAATATATGATAGACCATCACGATCAAGAAGGAGGTATTTTAGTAATAATAAAAATTCCCAGTCACGTAGTAAGTCTCAATCTAAAAATTGGGTCTGTCGGTACCATTTCCGTTTTGGTAGTAAAGCACGTAAGTGTGAAGAACCGTGTGCCTTTAAAAGAAATAATTCTGACTCGACAAACTAGGACATGCTGTTGTTGCAGCGACTAACAATGGCAATTTGAAATTTTCAACACGTCGCTTATTTGTGTTAGACAAAGAAAGTAAGCTTAAATTTTTAATAGACAGTGGTGCCGAAATTTCAGTTCTTCCTTCCTCCAAATTCAAAATACACAAACGATCTTCCGACATTATTTTAACTGCTGCAAATGGTAGTATGATTTCGACCTATGGAAAGAAATTATTAAATGTTAATTTGGGACTTCGTCGGGAATTTCCGTTTGTATTTCTTATTGCTGACATTTCTAAACCCATCATAGGGGCAGATTTTTTAGGGAAGTATGGACTCTTAATAGATATAAAAAATAAGAGGTTAATAGATCCCTTAACTAACTTGTCTGTCGACGCAATATCTGCGTTTTGTAATATCTCTTTGCCAAAAATATTTTCGGTTGAAAACCAATATACAAAGCTTATAAAGAATTTTCATTCATTAATTTCTGAACCTGATTATAACAAAAAAGTTGAGCATTCGACAGTTCATCATATCATAACAAATGGAGTATTACCATTCTGTAGCCCGAGACGCTTAGATCCAATCAAATACAAAATAGCAAAGGCTGAATTCGATTTTTTACTGAAATCCGGGATATGTCGTCCATCTAAATCCCACGGAGCATCGCCACTGCACCTGGTACCTAAAAAAGACGCAACTGACTGGCGTCCTTGTGGCGACTACCGAAGAGTTAACTTGATCACGATACCCGACCGATATCCGTTACCACACATTCACGATTTACATATTGAATTTCAAAATAAGAAAATATTTTCAAAAATAGATTTAGTTAGGGCGTACCACCAGATACCAGTTGCAGAGGAAGATATCCATAAGACCGCTATAACCACACCATTTGGAATGTTCGAATTCGTCAGGATGCCTTTTGGCTTACGAAATTCAGCACAAACATTTCAAAGATTCATAAATGAGGTGTTACACGATTTAGATTTTACTTTTGTTTATCTGGACGATATATTGATAGCTAGCAAAGACGAAGCAGAACATTTAAAGCATTTAAATATGCTATTCCAGCGTTTACATAAGTACGGTTTGAATATTAAGCCATCTAAATGCATTTTCGGAGCAGAAAAGATCAGTTTCCTAGGGTATAACATATCATCCGAGGGTATACAACCATCAGAGGAAAAAGTCCGATCTATTCTTGATTTCGGTCAACCAATAACTATCAAACAAATGCTGAAGTTTGTAGGAATGGTGAACTTCTATCATAGGTATATACCAAAACTTGCCGCAATGCTTGACCCAATATATAGTATGATAACAAAAGCATCGAAGAGCAAAGATAAAGTGCTCCAATGGACTGATGAATCAGTATATGCATTTAAGCAAGTTAAAGAGAGTTTTGCTAGGAAAACACTGTTAACGCATTTCAACAGTAATGCAATTCTGTCTATTGCTGTAGATGCATCGAGTAGAGCTATTGGGGGTGTTCTACAACAGGAAGTTAAACATTCTAAGGAACCGCTTGCATTCTTTTCAAAGAAACTAAGCCCGTCTGAATGTAAATATAGTACTTTTGATAGAGAATTACTTGCTGTTTATTTAACTATTAAGCATTTCAGGCATTGGTTAGAAGGTAGATCTTTTGCAGTATATACAGATCACAAGCCGCATACATTTGCTATGAACTCAAAAGCTGAGAGAAGCCCAAGGCAAACCAGACAGCTAGAATTCATATCTCAATTTACTAGTGATATTAAATACATAAAAGGAGATTTAAATTGTGTTGCAGACGCATTATCGAGGATTCCTGAAGTTACAGCATTAGAAGCTACTGACCTGAACTTACGAAGATTATTTGATGAACAAAACAAAGATGAAGAAATTAAATTATTAGTATATGATCAAAATTGTAGACATAGACTAGAGTTAATAGCAATACCATCTTTAAATATTCAAATTTGGTGTGAAACGTCACTTAGTTCAACAAGGCCATATGTCCCGCAAATGTTACGAAAATTAGTTTTTGAGAAATTACATAATATAGCTCATGTAGGTGTTAAAGCAACACGTCGGTTGATCACAAGTAGATATTTTTGGCCAGGGATGAACAAAACTATAAATCAGTGGACAAAAGAATGTGTTAACTGTCAAAAATGTAAAACTTATAGACATACAAAATCTCAAGTTTCGAAAATACCAATTCCAAAAGGACGTTTTGAGCACATACATGTGGATATCGTTGGACCTCTTCCCTTATCACACGATTTTAAATTTATTTTAACTATTATCGATAGAAATTCCCGTTGGCCAGAAGCATATCCACTTCGAAATATTTCGGCGGAAAATGTTGCAGAAACTTTCTTCCGCGAATTTGTTTCACGTTTTGGAGTTCCACTGACAATTACAACAGATCAGGGCACACAGTTCACTTCTCAGATTTTTACTGAACTAACAAAGCTTTTAGGAAGTCATAAGATTACAACCACTGCCTACCATCCGCAAGCTAACGGAATGGTCGAACGTTTTCACAGGCAACTAAAGGCATCAATTATGGCTAGTGGAAACGCAAGCAGATGGTATGAGGAGTTACCTATAGTATTGTTGGGTTTGCGATCATCCTACAAAGAAGACATTCACGCTACAGCAGCGGAGATGTTATACGGCGAAAATTTAAGGCTTCCTTCGCAAATGGTAGTTCGGTCTGAAACAAAATTTGATTCATCTGATGTACTGAATAAATTAAAGCAAAATCTCAAAAATTATGAATCGAAAGTATGTCATCATAAAGATTCACTTGTTTATATTCCAAAAGATTTATATAATTGCAAATTTGTTTTAGTAAGAATTGATAGGAAAAGAACTGGTTTACAGGAACCATATGAAGGACCGTTCGAGGTTATAGAAAAGACACCGAAGTGGTTCAAAATTAATTATCACAACAAATTAGTAAATATTTCTATAGACAGAGTTAAGCCTGCATTTCTAGATGGAAGTAAACTTAGTTCATCCAGCAAGACGAAGCGAGTTACTTTTAATTTGTTAGATATGAAAGTTTTTGGAAGAGGGGAGTAGTGTAGTGATACACATTACTTGTTAAACACTTGTTCTTAAAATACTTT